GTGACTCCATCCCGAGGGACTCCAGGCGTTTTAACTGAGGTTCCAAAACTGTAATGAGTCAAAACTGTAGCTGTTAATTCAGTTCTGCTGGGGGAGGGGAATGACTGAACCAATCTTTCCTGCTTCAAATTGTACCTGCTTCCTTGTTTAATATGGGGCTGGGTGGTTTTGGGGAAACACTGCCTAAGTGTCTGTAAAGTGATTGACATTCTAGCTTGCCTTGTTTGAAGGACAGGAACTGTAGCCCACTTACCAGGCTTGGTTTTACTAATGCCATGATGTACTAAATTAGATTCATTCTGGAGGTAAAACTAGATACGATGTATTATAAATTGTAATGCTCACATGGAAAACTAATAAACCCCTTGAATCTATTAAGTGCCTGGTCTTGCCTTGAGAACTTAGAATGCTGAAGAAGGTGACTGGGTGCATGCTGGGTCTGCAGCCACCGAGGTGAAATCAGCAGTGCTCAGCCTGGTAGGAGAAGAGACAAGAGTTTTAGATGTGTAAACAGGGAAGGGTTGTCCATACAGGCTGCTCTTGCAGAGGTTACACAGCAGTAGGTGGTTTTGCTCTGTCTGCTGTTACTGCCTGCCACGTAGCCCTTGTACCAAATGAGTAGGAACTGATACAACATCTTGGAGCCCCTTACCAATTTTGCTTTTAACAGGAGCAGAGGGAGAACTGCTTTACTACTTGAAAATTTAGGCCAAATACGTATTTTTAAAACAGAACTTTTAAAAAGGAATAACTTTCCACAGGTTTTTTGCCACCCAGAAAAACTGGGGAGTGCGGTTCTAGTGACTTGATTCTGAGCCAAGAAAAAGTAGATCAAGAGCTGTAGCAAGTTCAGTGGCCCATGTGACAGCAGAGGGCAAAGTATTCTCCCAGCTAATATTTTCCATCTAATGGATTCTAGGAATACGTAAAACGAAGCAGGGAATTAAAAAAACAAAACTAGAGTAAGCGGCTTGAACTCCCATAAAGACAACTTAGGAATTAAGGAGTGAATATATTTCTCTCTTCAGGACCTCGCTGTTCCCCTGTAAACTGTACCTCCTGCTGTTTGTGGTCTCCTCAGCCCTAATGCCTCAGGTGCAGGTTACACCAGTCCAGAACAAACTGCTTGCTGAAGTAGCAGCATTTAGCATTTATTTTCATGTAAAACACTGAAGAAAACCACTTGATTAAAAAATACTTTATTAGGAGTACAGTGTACCTGCAATGTACTTTATAAGGCATTTTCTATAAATGACTATTTCTACTATATATATATCTGGCTGTTCCTGTTCATATTTTTTCAATACATTAGTAATGCAATGAATAACACCTTTAGAAAAAAACACCTACACCTCTTTTATTTAGTTCATAAATGGTCAAGCAGTACAACAAGTAGCTTTGGGAGAGGTTTTAATTAACTGTAAAGCAGTTTTAAAGTTCATTTATCACTATTTCCTCTTTACCCCAATGAACACTTTCTTGTTTTAAATAAACCCGATTATGCTGTAACAACGTTAGCTTATTATTTTCCCATTTCACTTCTCTTTCCAAGCCCCCTGTACGCATACACTTAGCTTTTTGAGCCAGGAAAGTCTCAGCATCTGAAAACTACATTCCCATGAAAAAGCAGAGCCGTGGGGGCAGTTCCATGTTTGTCACTTTGCCCATAGGCACCTGCCTGCTTTCAGGTAACCCAACCACCCACCTCAGTCCAGGTCTGCAGCAAGGGACTGAGCGTACTCTGCTGCCAGAGCTGGAGCCTTTGATAACATGGAGAAAACCCACTAACCTGATGATGCAAAGCTGCACATAAAGCAACCGCCACGTATTGGCAGGAGTATAAATTGTTTGTACAGGTAAGGAGACAGTGATTCAAGTTTACTGGTTGCAGGATATTAACAATTGTAGCGTCTTCTCTATTTGTGACGGATTGATTTGGACAGGGAGCTTATGGCACTTGTGTTGTAAGATGACCAGTGAATATACTTAAGAACAAAAGCACGTTGCATTCCATGACCAACTCTGCCATAACTGCGCCTTAAACATTTATTATAACATTGTGATAAATAATACACACACCGTATCTTTTAAAATACCATATAAACCGTACCTCAGGAATAGGGAGCCAGCTTCCCTAGACAGTATCCTACAACATGGCCCTAGCATGGTTGGGATTTTTTTTTTAAAATCTAAAAACAGGTCAGTAAAACTGGATAACTACGTACAGTAAGCAGCCTATGCTAGTACACAATGCGGTATTGGCATTAGACTCGTATAAACCCTTGCACATCAGCAAACAAACACACTACAGTGCCAGGCGTACCAAGGACATTGCTGTCTCCAAGCCCACGCTGGGCAGTTGGGCGGGTGGGAAGTGCTGGGCCTTGTCACCACGTTCACCTCGCAGCTACCATTTCCCAGGGATCGATGTTCCACACTCGTACCAGCGAACGTAGTTAATGTGGGTCTCCCCGCCTATTTTTCCAAATTTGACAGGTTCCTGACGGACTGCCCTGAAAAATCCTGGAGCAGAGAACAGGGTTGGGTTTGTGTAGAGCCCTCACATGGCACCTTCCTTTGGGTTCCCCCCTGTGACATCTGTGTGCAGCTCAATTAAGGGCTATGCTAGGCCCTAAGCTGTTAGCTCACCTGCCACACACAGCCCTGTGCTGCCCCTGCACTGAGAAGCACTCTGGCACAGCTGGCATTTGCCCACCCAACTCCCAGCACAAACAGAAGCACTTGGGATTGCTGCAGTGCAGGAGCGGTGAAATCTCCTCCCTTTGAGGACCCAGCCACCCACCCATGGGTGGTGCTGGCAGGGCTGGGCCAGGACTCTCCCTTTACCTCCTGCTTGGCTGTGGCTGCTGGGGGCTTCTCTAAACAGGAGATGGTTCCTCCTCACAAAGTTACAATGATTAAATGGTCCCCACTGCAGCAGCCTTAACACTGCAGTAAACCTAAATTAATAAAACCTGACAGCTGGGAATATTTCACACGATCGCCCCATCCCCAGGCAAAAGACTCTACATGTTCCATCTGTTCTGTATGACAATACACACACTTCCCAGTTAAACAGTTAATGCTAAGTTAAAATGAGCCATTAGTGCTGAACTCAACCTGATCATCAGGAACGTGTGAGTGTCTGAAGCATGCACCTGTGCTCGCACACACAGATTACTGTTCTGCCTCTAATACGCAACAGCAGTCATGATTCACCCTGCGCTTCAGGCAAATGTGTGTAGTCAATTCCAGTTTGAACAGAATTCGGTCTGCTGCAGCCAAGGAGGAACCGCACAGCAACGGACAATCTGTTCAGTTCATTTACTAGAAAGACAAGCTGTGGCAGAGTGTTTTGTTGGGGTATTTTTTGTTCAGGTTTTTTTTCCCCCTCTAAAGAAATGAATGTAGCTGATGAATCCACTCAATAAATCCAGTTGCTGAAAATGAATCAGTTTTAAATATGGCACACATTCATTTAAATGAAAAAAACAGCTTAAAAGGCATTTTAGATTGGATTCAGACAATCTCTTACAACAAACAAAACACCTTTACAAATGGGCAACACTGATGGGGAAAGGAAAAGCAAAGCTCTCTAAGGAAAAAACCAAAAAAATCACATACATAAGCAAACCCCCTTCAGCTCATTTGCCTGTCTTCAGGAAAACTTGTAAAAGATTTTGGCACTTCGCTTTAATCTCCCACATCTAATGCATTCCTGTACTTCCATAAGGTGCTTTATAAATCATAGAGTCATAGAATCAGCTGGGTGGTAAAGACCTCTAATATCATCAAGTCCAACGACTACCTCAGGACTGCCAAGACCACCACTAAACCATGTCACTAAGGGCCTCTTCTACACAGCTTTTGAACAGTTCCAGGGATGGTGACTCAACCACTGCCCTGGGCAGCCTGTTCCAATGCCTGATCACCCTTTTGGAGAAGAAATTTTTCCTGCTATCCAGTCTAAACCTCCTCTGGTGCAGCTTGAGGCCATTTCCTCTTGTTCTATCACTTGTTACTTGGGAGAAGAGACCAGCTACCTCCTCCATCCATTCTCTTTTCAGGTAGTTGTAGAGAGTGATAAGGTCCCCCCGAGCCTCCTTTTTTCCAGACTAAACAACCCCAGTTCCCTCAGCTGTTGCTCGTAAGATTTGAAGCACTACCTTTGGGATGAGGCACTACCTTCCTTCAGGAAGGTTTGGTCAATACATTCATACCATATGGAAAACCATTCTGCTATCTTCCTTGGTAAAATACTCCCTGACTCACTCAGTCGTGTGCCTCAATGCTGCCTGTGTCCCTGCCCCACTCAGTTGTGTGCCTCAATGCTGCCTGTGTCCCTGCCCCTCAAGGGCATGGAACCCCTCACAGCAGCACTGCTGCCAGCAAGCAAGGCAGGCACTCAGCTGACGGAACGATGATTTTCTTATGATCGAGCTTCAGCAACATGTGAACCGTAGCAATAGGCAGGTCACAACTCTGTTTAGGACATCCAGCCCCGTGCCCAGTCAGACCAGACTGGAATTCTAGGCACCCCGGTCAAATCAGTGCACCCAGAACTACTGCAGCATGAATTATATTTTCCAGTAATAAGTTTTCAGTTTTTTATTAGCACTAAACAAAGCTGTTTAATGCCCAGCTGGTGATTTTCTGCACTTTAAATCAACTTTGCTAGTTTGAACATAACACTTCATGCCTCTCTGCAAACACACATTTGTGGCTGGGTTTAAATATGTAACACCAACTGTGAATAATCTGTTGGCATGTTTGAGACAGGCAGGAGGCTGTTTACTACCTGACAGAACCTGAGTCATAACCGTCCTTTAATAAGTCATTGTTCATCTTCAAAAGCCTCTCAAGCCTGTTCCGCCTGCAAAGCCAGCCCTCCCTTTCCATTGCCCGCCCTGGCAATGGGCGCTGCATCCACCACAGGAAAAAGAAACATGCAAACAAAGGAATTGCCAAGGTTTGCTAGAGAGAGAAGCATAAGGAATTACCATCTTTGACTGGTAGATCTTCTTGCTGTCCTGTCCTTCCATCTAAGAACGAGTCTACAAACTGGCAGTGATCTTCTCCATGGCCCCGCTGGTCTCCTATGTTATAAAACTTTCCTGAAAGCAAAGAAGCAGCAAAGTTCAGTGAGGGCTATTTCCAACAACCAGTGGAGGCCACGGCCTGTACTCTCCACTCCATAGGGAAGCCAAGGTGAATGCTATCATTGTTTCCCTCCCAGGATCTGTAGCTGTAATTTGAATGGTAAGTGCATACTCCCAGTACAGTGCTCATGGCTATAGAGAAGAGTGCCCCATTCCTGGACAAAATCTATACCTGAATGCATTTTTTCCCCACCTTACATTTCATACAGTAAGCATAATTCTGTTATTACCTAGAACCTCATCCTGATACTGTCAAAAATAAGGTAAGTTTTGCTAGTGATTTCATGTAAGGCAGATGTGGTTCCCTGTCAGGGAGCCCCCAGTACCTTCAAATATGTTTTGTGTCACCTCGTAACACGGCCAAGACTTTTATAAATCATCACATTTTTACAACATGTATGTGCAAGTGATATCACTTTAAGAAACAGATGACCCCAGTATAGTAACTGCTTATCCAGAGCATGAAGTGTGCCCCTGTATTTATTTGCAGGATTGCTTAACTTGACTGCAACCAAGTAGAAAACAAGGTCTCAAGTGCCCCATGGAGTATGTGCTGACACTGTGGGCTGTGCTTATCCTGTTAACAAGAGGACTTACAGTGAAGGAGCTCTGACAGGGAGATGTTTTTCCTTACTGATTTGATTTGCTGGACATTGGTAATAACTCAGTTCAGCAGAAGGAGGAATGGATGCTACACTCTCTTCCCAAGCCCTGGCAGGGCTTTTTTTTATTTTCAGATAAACATACCTTTTTTTCTAAACTCCTTTCACAGCACTTGTTCTCACTATGCTCAACCTTCAGCTGTGAGGTTGAAAGGAAAGGTGAGAGCATTTAGATACAGGCTGAGTACTCAGGTATAAGCTTAAGCAGCAAGTCCTGTTAGACGCTGGGTGTCTTGAATTTGCGCCAGTCTGGCCATATGGGGGGTGGTGAGATGGCTTTTAATACTGCTCCCTAAGGTGCAATTAATAAAGGAGCAGCCTACCAATAAACACTCTCTCACGTTTTTGTGATGTGATCAGTGCTTTGCCAAAAATTCTCACCTCCAGCCGACGGTCTCTGTGCACACAGTTCTCCCCTAGCTTTAGAAAATTATTTATGACTATCTAGTTTTGGCTGCAGGCATGTTTTTTTCCATAGGAGAACTGGTCAGAGGGAGTTCCTCTCAGCAATTCTTTGGTCTGAAATGAAGAACATTCAGGCTGCCCAAAATGGCATTTTTTTTTCCATGGCTGTGGAAGGTCACACTTAGAATTTATTTTTTTCCTCCCCTCAATAAATACTTTTTTCTTTAGATGGCCTGCTTTTCTGGAATGCCAGCACTGCCTGCTCTGGAGGGCTGTTAAATGAGGTCAGCAGTAGATGCTGGTTTATAGAACAGACCTGGAATGTGTAATGTAGATCAGTTTTTCTTCATGAGACAGAATAAACCAGATATTTTTATGGCTAACACAAGAACCATAACTTTCAGATACGCACAGACTCTCCTGGCCCATAGTGTAACCTATGCATAATTCCAACAATCCCTAATACATAAATTAACAGTGTTCTCAGTGAGTATTAAATTCTTACTGCCCAACTCTTTCCGTAATAAAGGAACACACTTAAAAACATTTAGCTAACAAATGACTAGATCCATCTTTCTCATCTGGGGATAGCAATTCCAGCATAAAGTAATTTTTGTCTTTTTTTTCCAGTGTTCCCTTATGGGTGGTCTTCAGAAAATTAGATACCATCTTTGTTTTATACATTATGAATTCTGCAACTGTAGACACATAATTCATGCGAATACCAGTATGCAATGATATGGTTGTTGGCTGCCTTGTACAACAGCACCTGTGCAATGCACCCAAAGTTCAAGATCACTGTCCTGCTTAAACAGCAAAGCTCCGGAAGGAATTTTCAGCATATGGTGGAACTGGGACCCCAGCACTGCCCCTCTCTGCTGGCAGTGGTTGCACAGCTGGCTGGCGCTGACAGGATTGCATCCCCTGAGATGCATGCTGAGATGAGGTGTGACAGTGAAACACGTCTGAACAGAGTTTGGCTTCAAGATGGAACCTTCCTCACTCACATATAGAGGCCCACGCCATGGCAGTCTCACTTAGGAAATGGGGGAGAAAACGGCTTTGCTTCAACATAAATATTTCAGTTCTTGTGACAACTGGTCAGCACTGGTTGTAACAACTCAAGTGCAAGAACCAGGCTTAGCAAGCATAATGACTACAATGTGGCTACCATCATCTTTCTCCAGTGATGTTAAATCACCACCCTTCCAGCAAGAACAAAAACAACCTAATGAAAACAGGAAAATGGGCTCCTGATACATTAAACTTTCCTTCTAAGAGTGAAGTAGCTTTCACTGCAGTGTTAATTCACTTGATTTAGGGCTAAAGTCTAGTCCTGCTGGATTAGCACTGCTATTTCCTCTACTGGCTGGTTTTGTGATATGCTATGCTTCATTGCCAGTGTTTGTCATTTGATCACAGTTGGTTAGTACAGCAACAGTTGAATGAATGATACCTCTGTCCAAAACAGTCTCTTTTATTCACATAACTGCCAAGGTACTGTTTACGTATGAGGTATTGTACTTGCTTTCCTTCCTTCTCTGCTCGTGGGAGCATGGTACCAGGTGCAAGGCTGTACAGCTTAAAATTGTATTGGCATGGGCTGCCCTACCCTCTCCTCCTCTTTTCTTTCCATGTTCCTATGTACAGAGACCAGAGTCCTGCTCCTGTGAGGTGCTGAGCTCCGAGATGGGGCAATTTGGGATTACAAAGGCTGATTCTTTCTGCCACAGTTTCTCCTAGTTAGTGTAATTCAAAGTGATGAACATACTGCCTCTAACTTGCACTCAAAAGACATTTCCCATACACAGTTGTTCATACTCCTTCTACTCTGGCTGACATACTATCATCGTTGCGATAGAGTTGTGTACGCAGATCTGATAAAAGACTGAAGAAAGCCAGGATCTTGGGATGGACTATAAGAAGTTAACATATTTCTAAATATAGCTTGTACAACTACATGAGACACAAAGTTCTGCTGAACTATCACCTAAGTGAAAAACACTTTGACAGGCTGTTTCCTCAGCTTATGCACAGCACATGTCACTTGATTCAGGTCTTAAATACACCACACATTAGTGACTTCAGACACTGAACAAAACTTGAGAAGATAAGGCCAGAGGCTGCTGTTAGTAATATAACATAAGAAGGTGGGGATGGGGTGGGGGGTGGGGGAAGGAAGAGGAGAGAGTTTATAAGCAAAAATAGGGAATGTGAGAACAAAATAAAAATGTCAACACAGGTAAGTAAGCCCTTGTTGACCAGAGTTGCAGCTATGTATTTATAAGCCTGACAGTAATGATGTAACCAGATGTTTATCAAATGGGATGGGAATGACTGAGTTCAGTCCTGGTCTAAAACGAGGCCCTAATCCTCTAATTAAGAACTAGTCCAGGCTACCCTTTAAATACAAATTTGGCACCTTCACAATATATGCTATTCACTGGCAGAGATGTGATCTATCTCAATGTTCTGTATGACCCCCAGGATACTAACAGGTACTTAAAATCAGATGATCGTCACAGAGAAGTGACTCTTGAGTCTGAAAATTCAATATCAAACACATTAATGATTACTGAGCACAAGCAGACTACTGTGCTCAGTACCCTGCCTATGGACCTGATTAAACACACCTGATCACACTTCAGCAGCGCTGGTCTTGTTAAACCACTAGTTCTGGAACCATGGTATCTTTAAGAAGTATATCATGTGGACAACATCGATTTGAATGTCTCTTACCTGTAAGTGAATCACTGAGGTATATCTTGTATCTCAAAGAGTTACACAGCTGCACACCTACAAACTTCTTATACCAAGTCCTCTTTACGTATTGTTTCCCTTTGCATTCTGAATAGCTGTCTGAATTGAATGGAATTTCAGTCCAGATAGCATCCTTTCCCACTGCAGGAGAGGAAGAAAGAGGCTAAGTATGGTGCTGCATACAAAATTATGTACAACAAATACATTTAAATAAATAGAATTAGAAAACTTGATGAAGCAGAATGCCTGATGGCGTCAGTCACCTGCATTTTGAACATGAAAGACCTTCCAGGGAAGCACCAAAGGCTGCAGATATAACTGATGCAGTGAATTGCTGCTGCTCTCTGTGTATTGTGCTAGTTTGGAATAAGCTCATGCTAGGACCTTGTGTCTGTTTGCTGGCAAAACTCTCATTTACAAGGTATATGATACAGTCACTGTTCTTCAGCGTGTTCAAGCCAGGACAGTCAACTCACAGCAAACAGTTTGTGATTTAGCAAAAATACACATGAAAATTAAGTGTCATGCAGTACATGGAAAGAAATGTGTGTCTCTGTCTAAGTGATGCCCGTTACAAATGCAAAAAGCAGCCCATTTGCTTGAGCGATCTCAGCTTTTCTTCAAAAGCTCCCACCAAAGACAGCAAGAGTCTCTTGTAAGTGTCCTAAAGCAGAGCTGGATCAAGACTTCAGAAGTTGAAAATTTTTCTAAAGCACAATGGCAGATAGATAGCATCCTCTGAGTTGTGCTCTGTTAACTCACTTAAAAAGCATGGAGTAGCTTACTCACTTTACAGAGCTTTCTTTTGCTTTAGCGACAAGGCTGAGAAAATATGAGGCTGTCCTTGGCTCATTTGTGTACATTGGTTTGAAGCCATCCCAGCTGCCCTGGAAGCACCACATCACGTTGTGTTCTGCTCAGGTAAACAAGCAGCCTGGCATGAATTCCTTACCAGGGGTATGGGTGGAAGGAGTGAAATCATGTGTAAATGCTGTTTGATTCCATCACTCATTTAATTGGTGCAGTGCAGCCACCCCCCTTATAAAATTATGCTATCTCATTTCTGACAACATTTCTGATCAGAAGACACTACACTATACATAAAAGGCTTACTTGAAATTGGCTCACTCACTCTTGGGTCCGCTGGGGGAAGAAAACAAACATTCAATCAGACACTGTAAAATGAACTTTCCCAATATTTCAATGGAAAAGCATTGGTAAGTGTTTTTCTACAGCTGACCTAAGCTGTAATTTGTGAAACAGAAAGAGTTTTGGAAGCAAAGTTCTTTTTTATACCAAATTAAATTAAAAGGAATATATTATTATGTGAAACTACAATATCAATGGGCTTTTAAAAATTTCACCTATGGGACAATACCAGTCAAACACAATTCTAGTAAAAACAAGAGCTTAAAACCATAACCAGCAAAACCCAAATCTACTGCATCTTTCTTAAAATTTCAGTTCCAAAACTCAAAATAATAAAAAGGACCCCTCTGTAATACTGCCACACAAAACTTGGCTATGAAAGCCGGAAAGTGAGAAATGGATGTGTGCAATTAAGAAAAAAGTAAAACTGACTGCTTAATTCATCCAAGCTAAATAGGAGACAGAACATAAGCCTTGTCATTCATGAAAACTGCACTTGGCACAAACATTTTTTCAATTTTAACAATCTAGGATTACAAAGAGTGCATTCACAGTTTTTAAATATCTGTGGCATAGTCTGAACTCCTCCCTGACTAATCCCTTGCTCAGCCAGGACTCCCATCCATCAGTGACAGCAATAGATGACTATTGTATTACTACACCTGGCTCAAAATGCAGATTGAAAAAGCCCCTTTAAAAAAGCTAAATCCATTTTGTGTTTTATATAGTCCTTAGGTACTATCAACCCGTAAACATTTCTACACAAAAGATGGTATCATGCTTGTATAGAGTCAACAAGTCAACTGTAGTTAGCCTCGTGGGGAACTGGAACAGGGAAAGCAAAGGCAGTGTCCAATTCTCACCTCTGAGTCAGATAGGACTTAACTTGGGAACCACCCATGGTCTAAACAGGCTTGTATACACCTTTTTAACAGTTTCAAGGTGAGTAAACAGGATGGAAGGGGACGTACTGGGACATCAGCTTTTCCCAACAGCTATTTCTCCTTATTTTAGCCAAAAGACATCACTATGATACAGCAGCCTTATTGAAGAGGTAGCAAAGGTGCCTATAAACACACCAACCCAAAGAAAAATGTTATGTTCCCCACCCAGAAGTCCAGAATGAGTTTGGTAGACACAAAAAGGTCAGGAATATTAATCTTAAATGACTGAGTCTTCTCTAAGGAATTAGGTTTCTTCGCAATGAACACCAAACTCTCTGTGCTCCTTTTTGTTTCTCCTGCAGTCTGGTCATCTTATATCCTTACACAATACAGCCCTGATCTCAGGCTGACCTTCCAGGCACTACTGTAACATGCTCAGTAGTAAAAAGCCAGTCTGGAGATAGTGAAGAGCAAGACCAAATGCACAATGAAGCAAGAGCGCCTCTCATATAGCTGACAAACCTGAATACTAGAGCCACTGTAAACGATAGTCAGACCTTGGGACTATCTTAGTTCTTACCTGATTCAGTACTGAATGCCACAACATTACTACTTGGACCTTCACCAAGAGGGTTTCTAGGTTTCACGTGGAATTCATAACTGCGGAACAAAATAGAAGAGATGAAAATTTTGCAAACTAATCATTCTTTTTGGAATGGAGGCTGGAGCAAGCAAACTGCCAACACTTTTGGTGCTACTCGCCTCTAAGAGAAGAACAAAAAGGCCTCATTTCTTGCTCTGCAAACACTGAATAGTCTTTGTCCTCACTGTATAAGGCCTCTCTGAACACCTAATTTACCAGTCCTTTCGGTAATTCTTTGCACACATAATATTAACATTTGATTTAATGCACCACTGGTTTAAGCCCGTCTCCTCTCACGCATGCAGTTTCAGCTCTGGCAAAGGGAGCAGCTCAGGTGAGGTCAGAAACAATCTGATAAGCAGAGATTGAATAAAGCACATCATTGCTACTTATTTGCATTTTTTTTCATTCATAAGAACACAGACCTCCAATTCAATGCTTCTTGGGCCCACCAACAGTGATACACTGGGCCAGTGGTTAAACAGGGCATGTCTTCCAGGACAGGAGCTCAGCCAAGACAAAGATCCAATTGCTTGAATACATGATAATAGTAAATATATGAAGTAATGAAAGATTTTGTGCAGCGCCTGTTTCTTATCTCTTCATAGTCATGTCACACAACACAGTCTGTACTGTAGATATCTCATAATCTCTTTTCATCACAAATCAGACAGTGCTCTGAAAAAGGAACAAGACTGAAGAAGAAAATCCAAGCCAGACTTCCCTGCTTAAGCCTCTGACATGTCTTAATACTTGATTACAGTCAGGGACAGGCAAGACAAGATAGTTTCCTACTGCAGCTCCGCTGAAATTTAGTTTCCATTAGAAGCTCTAGGTGAACAGCTATTGACAGACAGTCGCAAACCTAAAAAATGTTTCACAGAAGACATCAGACAGGTGAGGTAGGAAGAGAGTTACAAGGGTGGACACTGGACACAGCTTGCAACAAGGGCAGACCTGAGAACAGACTGTTTTCCCTTCCTCCTAGCAGACACTAACTTCAGCCAGCTGTTTCTCAGCTCTCCTGGCTGCAGGCTGGCAGCACCTGGGATTTTCTAACTGCTCAGCAATGGCTCAGTGCCTCCCTGTAGGACCTGTTGCCTTCTATGCCAAAGCAGCCTGATGAATAACATGTATACACACCCAGCCAACAGTACGCTCTTCATGCCTTCCCCAAGAGCTGTAAGCAATCATCTGTCCCACGCACGCCACCTGCAGAGACTTTTCATATGCTTTGAGTGGGACCATGGTGAGTACCTCTTAACACAGACCGTTTATTCATCAGTCAGAGAGATCCATAGGACACGAGTCATGAGGACGGTAGGGCTGGAAAATGGGCCCTGACTTACAGACTAAACACAGAGCAAAATGAGAATCCCAGAAGCGGGCAATTAAACATCCAGCTCCCGACTCGTGAAGGATCCCTTACCAATGGTAACTTGGTAGCTCATGACTATAACAGCATTGTAATGTATTGCTGAAACTGTTTCCAAACAGCAATTTTCTGAAGAAAAAAAACAAACTACTCTCTGCACACGGTTGGAAATTTGTAAACTCCATTTGCAAGTCCCTACAAGAGACAGAATAATTTAATCCAAACTTTGGATTACCTCTCATTGCTTCTTGGCTCCTGCAAAACATGAACAGATTGCTAATTAACCTCAGTGGTCTAATCATGCAGTACCAAGCAACTGTTTTCCATCCACAGTTCTAAGACAGTTTTTAACTTTGAAATTGCTTACATAAGAAATTGCTTTTATTTCTAAAGTTTTCTTTTAAGAGAAATGCGTACAAAAATGGGTATTCTGAACAGACGCATTATGCATAATTCATGGATATTTCAAAGTGAAAGATGGACTTTTTTCAAGCTTTAAAAAGTCTATTTGGAGTAACCTTACTATTTATTCAAACACGCTGCAAGCCCATTTTGAGCATCTCAAATTACTGTAGGAGGGGGACATTAAATAAATAATAAGTTCTAGACAAAATCTTCTTCATGATCAACTTGTTTAAACAAATACATGCTCTTAAAAACTGGATATGAGCCATTAACATCCACATTGTACATGCAGCACAGTAACTGTTTTGGTCAAGGAGTATTCTCATCTGGTAGGAAAGGTCATTATATAGAACACTGCAGCAGAGCAGTTGGAGATTCCTCCTGAAGAATCACTGAAGCATAAACAAAGATTTATTAATATGCCAGATGTTTTAAAGTAATAGCTAGGAGATACATTTTGGACAACGTACAAATTAATGCAAGCCTAGAGATAAAAGACTCCAAAGAAGTTTTCGTGCTTCCCACAGTTGGGAAAACTATGGTAAGATTAAAATAAAGAATTAAAGTCTACACACAGAGATTTCAGTTCGTGTAAACATATAAACAGAATTGGAGAAAAGGAAAGTAATAAAGAAATGTCCAAATTTTAGCTCAGTCATTTATGAGAGAGCTTCTTATTAATAATTTTAAATATGGATTGTTTTAAACTAAAATTTATAAAATTTTATAGTTTCATGGTAGGTATTTTTACAGATGCCCAATCATCATGGGCTCCTTTCCTCTGCCAAATTCAATCCTGAAACAATAGCAGTGGCTGCAACTGCACAGGAACAACAACCAACCACTTTTGGAGATGAAGAGAAGTAACTAGTTGAGTGAAAACTGAAAGTGAGAGAAAGGAAAAGTTAGACTGGGCTCACAATTTGATAGACTTTACAGATCTAACTGTAATTTTATGCATTTTAAAACCATTTAAGGTCTCCCTGTGTGTCAGGTGAAAGATCTGAAAAATAAAAAATAAAACGGTGAAAAAGGGTACCTGCTTCCATCTTATGCACTTCTATACAAACCACAAGGGAGGGGAAAAAATGCTTAGAGATTCAAGAAAGTATGTATGGCAGTTAATAAAAGGAAATAGGAAAGCTATATAATGATTATGCCATGTCTACCTGTTAACTAGACATTCATGAGAAACAAATCTATATTCTTTCTTTATATCTGTGTGCCTGTGATGCCAAAAACTCTGCTACCCAATACATGCAGCAATCTAACGTGTGTTGCGCCTCTAAAACCTAGAAGATTGCTATGCTACAAAGTTTGGAGACTAGGCCTCCCAAATCCTCCCAAACTGCTAAGACAATAAAAGTCCCTGTGCAGATTAAATGGACTTGACTTATGGTATTACTGTGCAGAGCATATTTTTCCACCATAGGAAATCACTATTCCACACGGAACTTTGGCAGATGCAGCTGCTCCTGCATTTTTCAAATCATGCCAACGGAGAAGACTGAAGATTGCAGAACTGAAAATAGGTGAAGGGAGATTTTCACCATAATAGGAGGACTGGAACAGCTGAGTAGAGTCCTGGGATTTCAGGTCATTGCTGCGGAGATGCTGGTGGTCAGATGACAATCACACAGGGCTGTCTCAATGTACAGAGGTTGTCTGTTTCTGCAGATGTGACTGGATAGCAGTATGATCTGACATAGCAAATGCAACTAGGTATAAGAAATTGGAGTGAAGGAAGAAGAGCGGGTAGGTGTGCTGCGCTTGTTTGAGGAGTCTTTCTCCTAATCAAGTTGGAAGAAGGGCTGAGAGAAACAGGAAATGCTGGCCTATGATCCTGTCATCAAGAGCAATTTAGTACAAAAATCTGTTACTACTGTAATGAAGAATACAAAAAACTCCAGCATTTTTCTGACACTTTCTGTATTTTTCTGCATTGTAACTTTCACTGCAGTGCCCATCTCTTGGCCTTGCTGTTAACAAAAGCTAAGCTCTCTGCATCAGTAGATTTTTTTTTTCTTGTACGTGATTAGCATAGTTTAGATGCTAACTGCAATACAAACCAATACCAGACAATGGTAATAACAGCATGAGCTGTTGTTGTGCATTATTTCTTCATATGGTATGAATTATTGTGTGTAAGTGCACAAAAAGCTTATTCACTAGAGGGTTGAAGACTTATTTGGTATGGTCTTTGAGTAAATTATAGCAACATTACCTTTTTTTGTTTCATGCCTTTTGTAAGACATATAAAAAAAACTTCTGAAGGAAATCACCTACACACATTATAAAAGCAGTTTGGTACATGCATATATCCTACACATTTCCCATGTACTGCACAGTTCTGGTTCGTCGGTTGGGTTACTTGTTTTTGTTTTCTGAGGGCCTTGGGTTTTATTTTGTTTTAAACCTTTTTTGTTATTTATATTCCTTAATAGACCTCATGGCTGGAAATATACTTTGCCTCGGGACACAATCTAACCCGAAGGTCCAAAAGAGACCACTCAAAATGTTTTTAAAAAGGAGTAAAGTAGATTTAAAATCACCAAACTGCTTAACCAGGCAAAGAGTCAGTATCTAAAGGGAAGTTTTACAAAGCTGTGCAATGCAAGAATCACAGCCTATTTTTTTTCCTTATTAACACTTCTTTTCTACTAAAAAGCTACACCAGCAGGCTGGTGGGACACATCCTCTAATGGCTAACTGAACTCCCCAGAGCTATTTGGCACATCTCTGACTGCAGTCTCAGTATTTTTCTTTACTACCTTCCAATTACTGCCAACACAAACATGAATGAGAGCTGTTTTCAAAGCTATTCGGACACTTTCTTGAAGGCTTGTATAGAAATAAGTGCTGCAGATCTTCCTGGACACTAGTGGTATGTGCTATGAACTGAGCTTCCCTTAAACAAGCCACCAGAATGAAGGAGGAAATGTACACCTAATAAAAAAAGTATTTCAAGATAGGGCAGGGACAAAGAAATAAAAACTACATATTTTGGCAGAAAAACCAAGAGAAATAGCATAAAAAGTTAAAATGATACTATAGCAGACAATTGGAAGACTTAAAAAGTAAAATATCAATTTTCAGGAGTTAGAAAACTCCAAAACTAGCAAAAAAAGCCCCAACTTAAAATTCCTTTGGAAATGGGAAAATAGAATTGGAAGCAAAAAAATAACAACATCTGCATTTAATATTCTAGTCTAGGAAAGGTCCATAAAAAAAGCGCAGGATAGTGAAACTGATTTCAGTGATGAAGAAGATGCAGATGAACACCATTATTACTACACAAGAGAGAGAGGGAAGAAAACAAAACCCACAGTAGGCCCGTTTCTATCTCAGGCCTCTGAAGGTTTATTACAAACAAGCACTGCAAGGATAATGACCTTACCTTGACTCACACATTGAGTCTTGGTCTTGCTTGACTATCATCATATGAGAAGTTACTGCAATATTTTCTTTTTAAGGGCAGCTTTTAACGTAAAACTAAGAATATGGAAAGAGCACAAAGTCCTGAGTATGCCAATGAAACCAGGAGTTCCACTGTGAGCAGTGTGAGCAGCAGTGTAAGGTAACTCAAAAACAAGAGACCTGTATGACAAGTGAGATGGATTATTACAGGTCTCACTCCTCAAATGACTTCTTGGAAGCTAGACTATAATTGCTCTGACCAGAATGATCAGTCGTGTAGTTTGGCTTTGACTATTTTCCAAGTGGAATAAATGGTACATTTCCCCCCAAAACTGTGACAGAATCTCCATGTGGAGGATGAAAAATTAAATTGACAGATGAGTTCATGCTGGTGCATCCCTTTCTCTCATTTTCCTTTGCTATATAGGATATATATATAACCTTATTCGTTTAAAAGTAATCATAGAATCATAGAATAGTTACGGTTGGAAAGGACCTTAAGATCATCTAGTTCCAACCCCCCTGCCATGAGCAGGGACATCACACACTAAACTATGTTGCCCAAGGCTCTGTCCAGTCTGGCCTTGAACACCGCCAGGGTTGGAGCATCCACAACTTCCTTGGGCAACCTATTCCAGTGCCTCACCACCCTCACTGTGAAGAACTTCTTCCTTATATCTAATCTAAACTTCCCCTGTTTCAGTTTAAACTCATTACCCCTTGTCCTACCACTACAGTCCCTAACTAAGAGTCCCTCCCCAGCATCCTTGTAGGCCCCCTTCAGATAGATATTGGAAGGCTGCTATGAGGTCTCCACGCAGTCTTTTCTTCTCCAGGCTCACAACTTGATGTATGCCTATGAAAGTCCATTTTCATTTCCATGTTAGCATGGTATAAGTCTGTTAAAATCAAATACTTGATAATTGTACTGAATGTCAGAACTCTTTTCTTTTTCAGCCAGTCCATTTTTTCTGGATCTAGTCACCTTTCAAACAGCTAAATGGACACACAGAATACTACATGGTAATCCCCCGATTCAGAGAAATTTGTATTCATTTAACGTCTATGTTTGTACTTACTGACAGATGCAGTTGTCCACGCAATTTTTCATGAGAGACTGTAAGAGTCTCTCATTGCTGCCTTCCTTACGCTGTCCAAATTTCTTAAATGGAATTCCAAGTCTGGCCATTAGCTCCTAATCTTTCAAATCTGCCTTGTCAAAAGACTAGCTCAAAGGAAGAGGGGTGCCTGGTCTACTGCAGAGCTTCCCAGAGGTGTAGTAGTATGACCTATTTGAAAGAAGATTGTAAAAAGAAAAGCAAACAAGCAGCATGATCCAGCAGGTGCAGATGCACCCAGTTTTCCCCTGCTGCTCCTTCTGCCCTCTTCACACTGAAGAGTTGTTTGTCTTGCTTCCCTCTTGCTGGATGTGGGTAATTAACTCTAGCTTTTGGGCCAGGCTAACATATCCTACCTGATTTGCTCAACAGGTTAACAGATTGGGCAACCTGACTGCACACTTTATCATGTACTGCTCCTCAAGAGCATACATCTGGAGAACTACAGGCTTAAACTATCTTGCTGCTGTAGGATCTTTCTGGTTTGAATTTACCCATGGAGACTGTGTGATACCACGTTTACAAACATTTTTATTCCTTTTGGAAAGTCTTTGCTTAGGTCTTTCTGGTTCAGATCCATCCTGAACTGTCTTCAGTTCTGGATGCACTGAACCTTCAGAGCAGCACAGGTATTCACACAGCCTCACTGATGGCTTCAGGGAAGCTGGAAAAAACAGACTCAGTTTCAGCCTGTCAGCTTCTCCAAAGTGCTTGAAGGCCAAGAAGTTCTTCCCCAGTTAATCCACCTTCTGCTATCGAGCATCTTTCTTTCCATATACTTGCTGGTAGTTTTGTAAATGTTGATCGTTTTCCGAAAGGGATTTTTTTTTTTCCTCTTCTAAGTCTCTTTTCCAGTTCCACCTCTTCTACAGCTCTTTCTTTTAATGCTAGTTATGGAAAAGTCTGCTTCTCAGTCTTAATCTCCTACTTGATGAATTCGCAGACATTTCAGGGACCCAATTAATTTACCTAGCTGTGTTTCATTGTCTCTCTTACTCCTATTTTCAGTCAGTTTTGTCCACAGGTCTATTTTCTTCATCTAGTAAGCAACTGGCTCATGACAGACAGGAGACTTTTATTATGAACATATGCCATTCCTTGCAACACTGATACTGTCCACATGATGCCAGCTGTCTTCATCACTTTCTTATTTTACACTAATTTAGTGTGCCAACAAGCCTGGATTCAAATGGTAACAGTAACAATTTCTTGTGCTTCTGCCAAAGCTCTCAAGGTGTCCTCAAAATTAGGAAACATGCATTTCGAAATGGGAGTTTAACTGAACAGAGCCACTCTGAGAAGGATTTTATGTCTTTTAAATCCTGTGAGACTCAAGGGAGATGCACCACTGCAAATTCTGTCAAAGGTCTTCAATTTCAGGTGATAATCTCCTGAATCCAGACAGACTTTCACTGTCTTTCCCTTTTGAGGTTGGGGAGGAGAGGAATAATAGCCTTTACACCTTAAGTCAGCCTCCACCAGTCAGTAGTGATCTCACATCTAGCTTCCAAAATCCATGCTGCAAAAGACAGCTTTTCTCTAAGGTTTCCACAGTCTTTGGTCTGCTTCTGCTTACCAAAACCCCAAAGTCCTCTCACACGAGTGATGGAATTGTTACTAGTTAAAGTTAAAAACCATCTCACCTGCTTCTCCCTTCCTTATGACCCTTTCAATGGTTCTAGTATACCTGACTTCATCTTGCTTCCTTTCTGAACTAAGAGCAGTCTAAATATACTTTTCTCTCAACATCCAGGCCTTTGCTTCCAAGTCTTTTCTTCACTTAACCAAATCCATCCCATTTCTGTCACCATATATGACACACAGTTTGAGTGTGTAATGGAAGAGAATCTCATTAATAACACACAGTTCTTCTCAAGGATGAAACTCTATTATTTCAAAGCTGAAATGAAAACACATAGAGTATAGTCTGGCAAGTTTAGCTGCACCTACAGCATTTCTTGTTCACTACTCCAGAAATACATTGTTTTACTGTCTCTCCTAAGCTTTCTCAGCTGATTGAGTAAGAGACTGAGGAAACTGATGCTTGGTCTCCTATTGTATTGCCAACATATCCTACTTGCCTCTTAACAAGACAGAACAACATAGCCTCAGTTCACACTTTCACAAGATACATGCCTTTAAGAAATAAGACAGATATTCTTGATTCAATACACAGAAATGCTAGCCTTTCTTACAAGTTTTGGAGTCTGTCAAAGCAGCTCTTTTTGGATATCACAATTTCCTCTAGCCTTTTTTTTCCAGTTCTCTTCCCCTCCACTTTCTGCAATAGTTCCTCATTCCTCAAGTAAACGAGCTAAGAACCAACTGCCCAAATTAAACCACACATTGCCTAAAAACAGAGGTTCAGGTTGGGTTCTATGCAGAATTTTGTGCTGTGTTACCAACCGTCACCAATTTAAGGATAGTAATAGAAAAGGGCAATTTATCTGAAACAGAAAAATCCAGTCACCAAAGCCGAATGGATAGTCTTACAGGAAGAAAAATGTCATTCATTAGCTTTTTGATGCAATCAATAAGCAACACAAAGAACAAGTGGTTTCTTCCCAGCTCTGAATTTTACCACAAAACCAGAAGAATAATTTTTTTATGAGATTCTTTTTTTAAAAGAATGATAATATTTTTTTGGACTGCTTGAGATGCACGCGATCAATTGGAATTCACTGACCCATTTTTAACTTTCCAAGTGTTTCAAGACACTGAAAGAAAACTACATATACAGCACAAATGCATCTTTCCTTTGCATGTGCAATGCATAGTCCAACTTTGTACAGTGGCCCAACTTGCACTGCAGTATTTGAATAAACACCTCTCTAAATAAGCAAGCAGACCAATCCAGTTGTGCAAAGCATCCTTAAACCCTGGAAAGAAGCAACCAAACATATAAATCTTCATTTCACATATCAAGTTAATATTTCTTGTGTTCACCTTCTTTCTTTATCTGCCAAATTGAAGAGATATTTTGATAAAAAGCAGTACATTTTCTTACATTGGACTGTTAATCTTTCTGATAGAACAGGTCACTTCTGCAGTTTGTCCAGACCATACTCCTGGAAATTTCCTGAAGATTCCTCAAATATGTATTATCTGTTAATTTGCAAGAAAGCAAACCAAAGTATACCTTTTTCCTATCAGAACAGGAGCAAAACCAATTTGGTCTTACATACATAAGGATTTTCAACTGAATTGGCAGACAGCTCATAGCCCAAAGTATTTGGATTCATTTAGAAAATTATTTTATTTAATTACCTTGTGTCGGGTTTTAGGTTTTCCACAGTAGAATGAGTTTGATTTGTAGTGATAATCGATTTCTCCTTTTCACCATCAGTTGCTCCATTTTCAGTTGATACAACCTCATATTCTGCAAAATTACAGTAAAGAAAAATGTCTTAAATAACAGCTTACTTGAGCTTCTTCATTGCTCTCTCTTTTCTTATCTGATTTCCAATACTACTGTCTAATAGACTGTAAAGACAACTTGGGTAAATCAGTGTGGACATTACTATGCTAAAATTGTTAGGAAGGAGAGATCCAATTCCAGATTGCCAAGTGCCTAGCCCCTCATCCTTCCTTATAATTGAGTTACGGGATGGAGGGTATTCAACATCTCACCTATGCCCAAAGGTACACTAGTGACAAAATTGCAAACACAAGTTAAGTATTCTGCAGTTTGAATGAGAAAGTATCAAAAATGAACGTAGAGTTTCTAAATGCTTAAAACTTGATTGACTTAAGACCTCTATTTTTATGGTTTCCAAAAGAAACTGCCCAACTAACTTGGATTGTTCACTTAGGAAATCTGTCAGTCTAGAATGAAATAATTTTGCATAAATTTATTTCTGTATTTATATGATTTATAGAGTTTCACTACTTTCTTTTCATCTCTCTGGGATGTATCCTTAAGCAAAAGCCATGTGCTAAACAGGGAATTAACAACAGATGTTTGGGAAGAAGATACCCCTTCAGTCATAGCCCTGTCCAAGATACAGGCTCTAGCTGGCAACCTCTGTCCCAATTCATAACAACCTCTTCTAATAAACACACTGAGTATATTGTTATTTTCCTCTCTTTGCAAAGAAATTCACGTCTCCAGCCCCTTCTTTTTCCCTTCTTAGAACCAGTCTATAATACCAAGTTCAGCTTTACTAATTGCAAGCTAGCAAAGTAAAATTTTTCAAAGAACATTTGCAATGAACATTTAGATCAGCACAGTAAATAAAACAGGCATTAGTATTATACTGTGAGTCCAAAGACAGAGACCACCTATCAACAGCTACAAAACCTCTAGAAAACTACTCTCCTGATTTTTTTTTATGCTACTACTATTAATTTTTGAGCTCTTAGCTAAATGCTAGCAAACTGTATGGCTTTTTTTTTCCCTTTTCCTAAAATTTTCACTTCTCTGTATAAGGAGACCTATTTGTCATCAACACAAATAAAACACCTGCAATAGGATTCAGTGTTAAAAAGGTAAAAAAAAAAAAGCCTCTCAGTTGTTGCTGTGCTCTCAGATCCTCACTCCTAGTAAATGTAGAAGATGTGTACGTTAATGAGCATACATACACAAATTGACCTGATCTTGACCTCAGTTGTGCAACTATACCTTTCTTTGTACTCTTCTAATGCAAAAAGCAGCCATCAAAACCACTGGGGTAACTTCTGAAAAACAATGCAATTAAGTGGAAGTGCAAAGCAGCCCTACAAAATTATGCTCTAATATTCCAAGCTTCCAGACCACAGCAATTCAATCTGAGCAGTTATATACATGTATACACATGTGAATTTCAGATTTACTGCAATAGTTTCAAAAGAGACCTCTACACTGCATCTTTTTATCTTTACCTTGTAATAGACTCAGGTATCTAGAGCATATACAGAGCAACATGAAACTTTAAAATAGGTTTTAAGTTATGTCAGAAAGTTAACACAGAGGAAGGAATTACTTCCTATACTGAAGATTTCAAAATTTCCATGTTCAGAAGTCCTCCCCCACAACAGCCACCCATGAACTGAGAAAGACCAACCACTGCCTTTTAAAAACAAACTCATAGACTTGCAGGAATGGGTGTCTCGAAAGCGGACGAGGTGGGTAAGTAGAGGGCTTTTACTTTTTCTTTACGCTATTTGTTCAAGTGTCCCAGTGTAATGATCAAAGACACTAGCATTAATAGTTAGTATCTATTTTGTATGTATTTTGTAAAACACATCTGTATTTTCTCTCTGTGCATTTCTTTTTGGAAACAAACACCTTTTCCTATATAGCCTCCAAGGCTAGGTGAACCATGGGAAAAAAACCCCCAAACTACGCAAAAGTCCTTATTTGCCCTAGTTAAGCCTCATTTGAGAAATTATGTTCATTAGGAAGCATGGAGGAGAGGGTGGATATCCACTGCCTTAGGTACATCCAGATAGAGAATGAGTAGGCAACCTCACAGGAGTTCTATTTTTCTGCCTTCTGCCTGCCCCAAGTCAAAATGTCATGTGAACTTTTTAATTCATGTAACTTGGACAACACAGCACATGTGAATGGACATGCAAACGTGCACGCACGCACACAAAGCACTGTTGAGCACATCTAGTACTTGCACGTGACTCAGTGCATGAGTCTCGGTGCACAAGTCAACAAACATTCCTGTGGCAACACAAGGGTAGCAGAGCACCAGCAAAATGGGTTTTGTTCCTGACCTTTGAAGCCTTTATGAAAACAAGGGCGTAAGCTTGACCATTTTGTTTTTAGGAATACCCAATACAATGAAACCCCTTGTACGTAGCTGAAAGTCAAGCAAAGTAACCAGCAAATTACGTTCTCTGTTTCCACAGTTCTATCTGAACTAGTGCATTAAAAAAAAAAAAAAAAAAAAAAAAAGTTATGCCTAAATCAGGCGATTGAAAAAACATGCATAAACTACAAAATAAAAAGAGATGACAGAAAACTTGATTTAAGCCTGCCTAACCAAGTAATGTCATACTGGTGCCAATATGAAGTAATCACTGTTTTCAGAAAATGGGATTCAATGCCTTCTCTTGAATTCACAAGATGTCCTTGGATGAGTCATTAACAGCAATATTTTGAAGTTAAGATGAAGGAGACAAGCTTAGTGAGTTTATTTGTAAACCACAGAGTTCAAACATTTGTGTTACATATTGAAGTTAAAAAGAATGAAGATGGTATTATGGGAAAACCATTACATCTAGATAGGAAGATAGCTAGACTGCAATCTGAAGTTTCTCTCATTGAAGCAAAATGAGTATTAGTCACATATTCTGCAGAAGGTTTTAATTTTTTCTGGTATGGAGAAGGGTATGCCACATGTCTCAGTTATCACAGAATACTCTTACAGAAGAGAAGAAACTTCATGGAAAGTTACCTTTCATAAATGCTGATTACAAATGAACAGAGAAAAGGTTTCCACTGTGCATATTGCTTGTTCTGTATTTTACAACCCATATTAAAACAGAAAATGAATCATATCAGAAGGCAATTAAGCCTTGCTCTCATTATCAGATGATGTGCGCTGACAGTTTTACCAGCTGTAGTGGAGATGTTTTTCTATTTTTGCAATACAAATGGTTGTGCTGTAGTGGATTCATTAACATGCTCAAGAAAAGCAGCAGGTCTCCTTCCAAGAAAACATACAGACTAAATGACGTTATCTAATCTAATCAAGCTAAGGACTGGTCTGTGGAGGAAACACCAGCAGCAAAAAGGCTTTTCCTGGAATGAAAAGAAGCATTGCAGAACTGCCTGGAATATGGAGTGTCCACAGAGAGCCTATACTCAGCCTAATTCTAAGGTCAGCAGTAAGCTCACACTTCCTTTTCTTCCAGGATGATGCACATTGTGGAAGACAAGCCAAGTAATCACTCTGCTCTCTTGTTGGTACTTCTTAATCGCCTATAGTCTCTTTTTATTCCCTTTCTAAACCACCAGAAATGCTAAGTTTCTTCCTCTTTCCCAGAAGTAAAAAAATGCAAGCTAATTTCTGGTTTGAGTGTCCCTTTGGTTTTGCATTTATTATTTTTCAAAACGGCAGGGAGAGAAAGAAAGAATAGAGGCTAAACCTAGCAATTTTTAGTAGAAAGCCAAGGAAGGGCTAATTTGGGGTAGAGAGTGGCCTTGCTTGTGACAGTCACCTAATTATATCCCTGCACTGAAATCTCTCATGACATGCATATACAACAACATCTGAAAACATCCCACTTTACATGCTAAAGTGAATGGCTAAGATCAAGTCTTAGTCCTCACAGTTCCTAGTCTTATCTGCTCAACTCACCTGTAAAGCAACACAGCCAAATCCATTTGGTCATGGCTGTGATAAGCCAGTGATTTTGCAAATCAAAGTTCTATGTTCAGGGTTAAAAAACCCCACAAAAAAACAAAACAAAAAAAAGAAAAAACAACAGTCCCTTTTCCTAACAGACCAGAAGAACCGTAATTTTCAGTTGTTAATTCTGGTAAACTTGTGCTGAGATATAGAAGATGACAGAAAAATTATGAATGGTCATCTTGCATGCTTACCTGTCTATGTACTGATTCCTCTGTATTCTCGATACAAAAACCTTCCTTTGGAAATGAAAAAAACCAAACAGATTCTTTTAACATGAGAACTTGGTGACCCTATGGCGGGTACTGCAAGCATTATGCTGGCAGAGTTCTACTGACTTACTAGATGGATGTAAGATTTCATTGTGAGTGGCCCACTGATCAACAATATCCTCAAGTCAAGGCAGATGTCTATATGGTATGTACGCATTTATGTAAAAAAGACTATTGTCACATTCCTTGAACTTCTTGACTAGATCTTACCAGATCCTGAACACAGAGAAGCCAGAGCAGATACCACAGCATCAAGACAGAGTATCTTCTTGTGTCACCACTGACACCAGTGATATAGTTGTGAAAATCTCGCTCCAATCTAGTAGCGCTGTCTTACCCACACTGGAGTTGACAGTAGCATAAAATAAAGGCACTGGGTGTAAGCCTCCCATAGGATTAAAATATCTTTAAAATGGTATAAAGCCACTGTTAAAGTATAAATAAGCTGAAAATACTGTATTCTGATACAATGGAGCAAAGAAATCAAACCAACCAGTAACAGTGTCATTGTCTGGTTTCTCCCAGTCCAGTATGACGAAAGTTGGACAGCCCTCAACAGTCACCACTGTGAGGTTTGTTGGAGGATTTTGTGGAGGACGAGTAGGTTCTTCCTTGCTGCTAGCTTCCTCTTGTGGAAAATGTTCAAGAGAGCTTGTGATAGAGCAAGGCACATCATCATCTTTCTTCATGTACTTGACATGGGGGGCTAAGAGCAACAGGAAAGAGCTGTTATTCAATACAAGGTGTTTTTACAAAATGCCAATGCCATTTTTCACCCCTGGCACAACTTCCATCTTGGGGCACCAAGTAAAAATCTGCACAAGAAGCCAAACATAAATGTTTAAGAATAAAAATCAAATATTCCATATTAAGCTGCTTGTTGGTTTTATTATTTTTGTTATACTGGAATCTGCACTGCCTTCACCCCCTTCTCATTGGCACCACTGATGAATTATCACTCTGAAGTGATTAGCGGCTGATATGCACTGTTTGAAAGAATTAACTTCTGTCACAAAATGAGACAATTAATTACTAATATTCTCCAGTAAAATGACACTACAATTCCATTTGCAGCATTTGAGTGCTATGCTAATACAAAGATGTAATGTCCATCATCACTTTGATTCACCAGAAAGAGTAACAAGTTTAGTCCAGAGTCATTCCACCATTAAACTTGCAGTTTCTAAAGTGACTGTCAAAATCTTAAGTATTTTCTGTGGTACAGGACGAAACCTTGAAACAAACTTTGAGGCAAATCTTGCACTCAGCATGAAATTCATGAAGACTACTGAAGACAAACACATTAGTTCTAAAATTAAACTTCTACTGGGTGTAAACAGTACGCTTTTACAAGAAAGATAGTCTTCAGAAGTGCAGTATCTCTTACCAGACCAAAAAAATATCAACCTGAAAAATCTTCCAGTACAAAAGCCCTTCTTCCTGTCATCTCACCTTGCTAAACTCCCTAGGTTACTGCAACAGCAATAACTTGACTACTTTATCATCTAGCCTAGTATATGTTACCATTTCAGACTATCTGAATATGCACAGCCTGGAATGAGAGGTGAGGCATATATGATGAGCAGACATTCCTTATGGTAAGGAGCACTGGGATTTGGGCAATACCTCTTCAGGTATGCTTGCAAGCCCACAGGACGATTTTTCTTTGGTTTGGTGGAATGTGAACAGTGTGCAGCTGTACTACTGCTAGTGTACAGGAAGAGCCACAACATGTTTGTTGGCATGACTGTAAACTAGGAGGTGGTAGCAGAGAAGAATGCAGAAATAAAATTTAGTCAAGAATATGTTGATGATCTGCACTACAGCCCTTTCATCTGACACTAAAGTGAAAGAGAATCAAATGATGTTTTCACCTTTAAATAACCAAACAAGCTAATTTTGATGCAAGATAGGTCAGCCTTCATCTATTCCCCCAAATAAAAATATCATAGGTATTAAAATCCTACCTTGGTACCTTGGTTTCCCTGAAGAATCGGTTTCTGATGTAGGACTTGAGCTGAAGACAGTTTCATCAACTGTGGAGAACACAGTTATAATTTAATTTGCAATAAATAAAAAGTTTCAGTGTTAGAACTGTATCATTTCACAGTTCACTTGGCCGTCATGGTAAAGTTCTTCCATGGTAGACCTTTGCTGCCAGATCTGTCTTTTCCTCTTTAAGGACTCCATTTTGGCTGTGATGCTAAGTAAATACCATACTTACCTGCTAGTATAAAGATAGCCATAACCAACCACAGACTTAATGACTGCTGCTGGATTCACTTTATGCAGTACATGAGAAATGCTCTTTTAACCTTTTAAAAAGGATCTTTTTGCACTGTAGTGGCTGTTTAGCTTGGAGCTTGTTTCATGTTCACAGAATACATAGCACTATTATGTTGGCAGATGAACTTCTCCGAAAATAGGAATGAGGAAATCACAAATTCTGTCTCCAGAGCGTACAACTTCTACAAAATTTGTAGGAAATTGAAGGCAAATACACTGGTGAACAGAAATGTGCTAAAGCAGTCAGGATTCATGATACCAGTGTTGTATTAAATAGCCACTATACTGAATGTTATATATATACTGAACAACACAAACACTACGATGGATCTCAACAGACAAATCATAACACATTCACAAGGATTTTTTTAATAACTCTGGCATTCAGCTTGCTTTACTGAGCACTAAAGGGTCACAGTAAGTTCATGATCATTATAAGGAGACAAGAATTTCTAAATTACTATAAATCCAGCAAAACTAGAAACAGCATAATTCATGACAATACACCTAGAGCTGTGTATTTTGGCTCAAAAAATTTAAGCACACCCTCCACCAAACCCATTCCTGTATGCCACTTTGAGGAGATTTAGGTCTAAACTAGTAGTTAACTTGCAAATTTACGAAGGGCAAATTACCGACTAACGACTAGGCGGATACCATGACCATGTGGAGCACTATCAGTCACTGTCAAATAGCAATTTGAATTTACAGCCTATGCAAAAAGAAATGTCTAGGAAAAGAAGTGCCTTATCTACTCGCTTCACAGATTAAAAGTAGCCACTGAATAGTATTGAAAGCTTACTAAGCATGTATTGATGTCTATGAAGATGGAAGGGCCATCATGTTCTCATTTACCAAGGTGTGTATCAGAAGACAGCCAGGTGAACTCAGTTAAGTTAGAAAAGTTGCAAAGTGGCATAAAGGAAACCAGAATCACCCCAGACAGAACACTTCTCATATTAAATATACCATCCATAAATATATTTTAGGGGAGGGAAGCAAAGGAAAAAATGAAAACCTTTATGTAAATGAAGGGAAAAAAAAAAAAAAAGAAAAGAAACCAGAACTGTCTTAATGTCTTAATATGCCTACCATAATAGTCTGGAGTTGCAAAAGCTGTTGGTGTCTTATAAGACGTTCCTGTCCTCACAGGTGTTGTTGGTCCAGCGGGTTTAGCTATAGTGACAGAAAGAGGAACTTGTGGCAACTAGATGACCTTAAGGTCCTTTCCAGCCCTAACCATTCAATGATTCTATGGTAAAGGATGTACTGATTGTTTTCAAAATAGCTGTAAAAGACAAGAACTACATTCATAAAACAGGCACATACCCCCAGATAACCACTGCATGACTGTGAAATCATAATCATTATGTAGCTACCTTCCCTGCATATATGATACAGAAGAACATGGTAACTGAAGGCAGAACTCTCGTGAACCAAGTTTAAAACAACGATAATCCCTACTGTCCATTAATTTCTTTAATAAAGTGAAAATTTATTAAAATTCTCATAATAAAGATTCTCTCCTAATTTCCTTATTAAAGTGGAAATTTATTAGGATTCTCACTAGAGTCCAGTTTCACAAAGGTTCTGGAACTCTCTTGCTTCCTTTTTTCCATCCAGGAGACTTCTAATGTTGGCATAGAAACCTTCCCATAATACTCACCCACTGGATTAGTAAGAAAGATACAAATAAGGAATTAATCACAGCCTTAATGAGAAAGAGAAACAGGACAGAATTATGAAAGGGAAAATCCAAGAACACTGAGGCAAATTTTTCCTGTTAGCACTGTGGAACAGTCTCTCCAGGGAACCAGAAGAACTCAATTATGGTATTTAAAACTAAGCTGGATAAAATACTAGTAAACACAGGGAGAAAGGGAAATCTGGCACAGGACCCATAAAGAAGAACCAAATCATCTAACCAATTTATTCCATCTTGAATACCTAGGAAGGTATAACACTATATAACCTGACCTCTAGTGTATGGAAAAAGGGTGATATTTCAAAATACCAGTAAATTATTTAGACACTTAATGGAGAAAATTAATTTATACCCTATTAACAGCAAAGTAAAATGTATCAGGTCAACATTATTTTTTATGCTACAGCTTAGGACTGACAATATCTTATGCTCTGTTGTAGCTATTACTAAGGAAACACCACTGAACAACAACAAGCGTAGACACAACATTTTGATCTTGGCTCTGCTGTTGAGTAAATATACTCTTGTTTCATCCAGCTTGAAGATTCTTACTTCTAATCTGCTGCAAAAAATACTAAGGAATTATTTAGGCCTTTAGTGCCTTACTAGCTCACAAAACCCCAAATGAAACAAACAAAAAAAAGAACCAACACGAAATACAGCAAAGTTGAGACCTTTATATTACCAGTGAACTAAGGAGGGAAATACAAAGAGGGAAGCATTTCTCATGATGCTAAGCATAATGAGATGATAGTTTCTGACTACCTGGAATAATATTAGCCTAAGGATTCTTATACAGAATCCACAGACAAAACATACATTAGGATACTGAGTATCAGCTTCAGCATAAAGTTAAAATAAAATAGGAAATGTGAAGGTTTAAGTGTGTTTTCATACTGATAGTAAGAATACTGTAGCACAGGCATGAAGCTAAACTCTTTGCACATGAAATACCTCAGCTTGCTCTGCCTCCCTTGCAATTAGTTTTCTGGGTGCCTATTGGCTTGTTATTTGCAATGGTTAATGGATGTGCCATATATATGGGACAGAATTTCTTTACAAATAACCAGTTGGGAGTATGCATTGAAGCATTATAGTATCTCCCATCTGACATGCACATTAAGTAACTTCAAATGTTATTAGTAGACAACAAAATGTTCGTAAGGTTGATCATCTTAAAGAACGACTTGCATTATGCTATTTTGCTTTCAGCGTCCTTACTTGGGATGATTTTGACATAACTAGGTTAGGAAAACAAAAGGAAAACAGAGTTTATGTATGAAGACAAAAGACACAAGGCCTGTATGTTCCAGAAGACTAGTTTCTACAGATATCCCAGATTAAAGAAAAATAATTTATACTATAAAATTCTCCTATACTCTGCTGGTCACTTCAGTATCATCTCACACGTAATAAAATATTTACGCTGAAAAGGCTGAGATACCTGGAATCCCTGGTTTACCAGTCACAGTGTTTGGAGGCAGAGGTTTTCTTCGCATTTGTGTAGGCTTGACAGGAGGCATAGGAGGATGCTGAGGGCCAGGTGATATGGTTACTAAATGACAAGACAGTGTTATTAATTATTTAACCTCGAATTCCTTAAAATCACAAACCCATTATGAGTTATATTCTGACTTCTCAAACAATGTTTCATGTCTGATTTAGTATCAGAAGTGGAGAGGCAAGGTTAGAAGCTGTTGTATGAATTGTATTTTCAGCCTTAAATTCTTAAATTGCATGGAGTTTTAAACCAAGTTTACTCTGAAAATACGTAGCTGCACTGGGATTTTGTAAAAGTGTTTCAGCAACTCATTTTCTGTGTAGTTTATTTCTGTCAACAGTAATTTTTTGGCAGACAACAGGATATTTCTTCCCACAATAAATACCATCTCAGTGTACTCAGAAACACCTTCAGTACCCTACTGACAAGATTTCTGATCTTTTGTACTTTCTAACTGATAAAAGTGGTCATGCTCAGCTTGAAGCAAAAGATGTAGCAAAATGGAAATTATCATTAAGGACAGTTTATCCTGTGCAGTTCAAAAGTGAAAAATGAAGAAGTTACCGTCACTTTATGCACTGACACAGATAAAGACTAGGAGAAACTCCTGGAGCCCTCAACTAGTTTGTTTCAATGTGCATTTCCAGCCAATATCTATTAAATTTATCTGGCAAAGTCCCTTGACAGTGAGGAGGAAAGAAGAACCTAAACCTGAAAGGAGAACCTAAGCCTCTTAATTCATACTTAAAAAACATAATCGCCTGTATTTTCCAGGCAATTATAAAGGATTTTATTATACAAAGGAAAGGCAAAGATTTTTCTTCCATTATTCACCTTTGCACTTCTGAAGAAAAGGAGGTATGTGCAACACATTTATGTAACAAAAGACTTCTTGTACCTTACAGGGGAAAATCCTTAAGAATAATATAATTCTTATAATGCTGCCAGTGTCAACAAACATGCAAGTTGCCTGATACTGAGTTACTGGCTACACAGAGTACTTTGGGTCCTACGTATCAGACCTTAGTTTACTCTAAAAAATAGTGTAACTGTGGACAAGAAGAGAGCAGATACAAAGACTCACTGGGAGAGCCTTTTTAGAAATACTTAAAATATTCTTCTCAACAACACAACCACAAGTTACACACAAGCCAAAACATCCCATTCAGTGGACTGTGTCACAGTTGAATCTACTATACAGCACTCTGGAAAAACAGTAATCCCTACTCTTCCCTTCTACTATACTCCCTTTGCTATGGTAGAAACTATTAGTATGAAAAAAGTCAATGCTTACAATATTGTGGGTGTTTGATCACAAGGATATAATACTGCTGGTTGTAGTTTTTAATATATGGTGCATGTTAGTGACTAAGTAGTGACCATGAAATACTTCATTTTTATCTCTTTCAGTAGCATCCTGAAGTCAAGAGAAGGTATATTGATGAGAATGAATAATATTTTCTCTTCTTAGTAGAGGTGCTTTTTGTGTAGGAATGGTCATGTTTTTATTTTTTCATTAACTGTTAAAATTTGCTATATGTCTTCTTTTATCAACCTTACCAGAAATTGCCTTTTCCCAGGTATCAATATATTCCAAAGGTTTTTCTACATCCACGCCAATTTGTCTGGCAATATCCTCTGGTGTATATGCATCATCTGTGAAACAAAGGAAATCAAATAAATATCTACAGTGCAGTGTACCAAGTCACAGAATACTGATATACTGCTTATGTCCAAACTCTAGGTAACATTAAGTGCAAAACTAGCATATATGGCCCACCTACGTTTTACAGATAACTTAGTGATATTTGTTATCTTCTTATTCAAGTAAATAGAAAGTGATCTGGGTCTACAAGGTGTGCAATTTAATTTTTAACATTACTTGAAAAAAGTCTGCTTAGAAAATTAGTAAGATTAAGAGAGAACAGATCAGTTAAAACAAGACTGCGTGGAAAGATGAGTACAGAGAACATTCTGTTTTTTCAGCATACAGAATAAAGTATCCATTGACTCTTGCAAAGGGCAAAGTTCTCCTTCTCCCATCAATAAGATCTTTGGTTTTCCTCCATTTTTAATGGCTAGAGCTATTCTGAACCAAACATACACCATATTTGGAGTAATCAAGGCAAAGTGTACATAAAATTCAGTTTGTATATAAAAGAAAGTTCTACTTGAATGTTACATAAACACATTTTAAAAATACTGAAGTAAATGGCATTAAAAAGATCAACACAACTAGTGCTGGTACAGAACAACTGTTTCTTATGCTAATATTTATAGGACAGCAGACTGTTAAATTAATATGCTTTCCCTATACAAAACAAGTACATTTACTTTATAAAAACTCTATATATGGTAGAGTGAGAAGATGCATTGCAATTTCATCATGTTAGCAGGGGGGTGGGGGGGAATATCACTCCTTCCTCTGACATAAGAAACACCCCCTGGAAACTAATGTATTAAGAAAACACCAACCAAACCAAACCTCAAATTTAAATTAATTATAAAATTCCAACGTGATCTAAATGCTTCAACCAAAGATTTCATAGGTTTGTAATCTGGTGCTCAGTTTCTTTTGAGAGTAAATAAGTATTTTAACAGCTTGAAGCAAATAATTTTTCAGTAGTTTTGCTACTTGGCCATTCTTGCTAGGCATACCTTAGGAATCCACAGTCCATAGTATGGACACATTAAATGTTTTACTTAAGACTGAAGTAATGAAACTTGCACTAAGCTGGGATCAGGATGCAGGTCACCTGATCCCTGTGACCACAGTTTCCAAACATATCATGTGGGTTTATATAACTGCAATTTGTCTTCAGGTAACTAAAGTGGTTAATTAGATCTTCAGATATACAAAGCACCAGAGTGCTAATCAGTGTTTCACATTATGGTCTTTGAGGAAGAAGAGGCATGAGAAGACCAACACCAGCTTCAAAAAGAAAAATTACCTTGTACACCACAGGTCATAGTCAGAGTATTTAGTTCCTTAGCTTCATCTCATAGTAAATGCATCAACAAATGTAGTAGCCCATAGACTAAATCACACTAAATCACCCAAATAGCCATTACAAGTCCAATCCAGTTTATCATCTTAGCCTCTACAGAAAAGACTACCTCTAGCCTGCTCCTTAAAATCTACTTCAGAATCACAATCTTTTCTGAGTTAAATCAGCTAGGAATGAACAAAATATTGTATACATTCTAGATGGAAGAAGTAATTATTCCCCTCCCCCAAAAAAACAAACCTGGCAATGCTGTTCTGTCATTAGTAAAGTAGTAATGAAAAATACATCAAAATTTCAGGGAAAAAGCTGTTCAAAATGCACCACTTCTCTGCTGACCAAAAAAAAAAAAATCTCCTTTTTGAATGATTCATGCACTTCAAAGTTACATAAAAGTTTCTGTTTTCACTGAAGGTCCCCTGGTCTATCAAATAGCTTGCTACATTTATCATGGTATTTGCCTTATGCTAGCAAATAGAATTTGCTTATTATAAGGAAATTATTATTTCGGCTTACCACATTCACCCAAGCTTTTAACAGAACTGAAAATACATGTATTACTAGCTTGTGTGTTTGTGTCTTCTTTTACTTCCATCTTTTTTCCTGAAAACATTCATGGGAGACTGGAGCACCTTAAAACGAACTACTGCATCTTTAATAGCAGGAATACAATCAGAAGGGTGGATCATTTTAAGGGAAGAACTAGAAAAAGTGCCTTTGATAAAGCAAACTGAAATTACTTAAATCCTGAGTTCCTCTAGAACTTGGCTACACAGCCACACTTTCAAAAATAAAAAGAAAATATAGCACAAAGTTAATGGCTACTATAATGAAAACCAACCTCTCTTTCACAGGGAAATGGAAATGTTGCTCAAAGTTTGTTTGCTGATGGTTTTCTGGAAGCTTAATAGATCAGGAGCAGTTTTTAAATGCTTAGGATTAAATAAAAAAATAACTAAGAAGTTACACACACTAAGAGAAATATTAAAAGCCGTCTCAATAAAACGAACTAAATAAAATGGCTAAGACATGGTTGAAAACTAAAAGGAATGTTAGTCATGAGGAGGCAATCCCAACCTCTTTCCCACAGTCAAGTTTACCACCTGGCACTATAGCTAGCCAGCAGATTGAAAAGCCTGCCAGGAAAACAGTCACAATCCCATCTGCTGCCGCTGGAAAAAACAAATTCCACTGCTTATCATCTGGGCCTTGCAGCTGCCAAGCAAACTCTGCATGGGGTGAAACATCTTTGCACAATCAGGAAGAACTGGGTACGTTCAACAGCAGTGCCAGCCCAACAAGGGACTCGTCTTGAAACAAGTGTCCATGGCTCTTCAGTAAATGTGCTTTTCTTCAGAGAAAGAAAAAAAATGAAGTAATGTCTAAAGGTAAGTCTGAAAACATACTGTTCCTTAAAGTCCAATAGAGGCATCTGATCAGATATTAAGGGTTCTAATAAGCTAACCATAGAAAATAAGATATCATTTTCATAATGGAAGAAATCAAGTTCCTTACCCCAAAAAATCACCTGGTAACTTAAAAATGTTAAAATATTTATAAGATATCACCCACTGAAAAAGAAGTAAGATTTAGGTTAGTCAAGTTAGTAGAGTTTTCTAAGTCTCTTCTGCAGACTTAGGAATTCTGTCTGCAATATGTAATTGCACATTGCTTGAGAAAGATATAGATGATTTTATTGGGTACCTGAACTCCCTCCTTGTGTGAAAAGATTTTTATGAGCACAGAGAACCCTGTAGGCTCAGATACTGCATTTAGCACAACACTGTGATGCACCTGCTTTACAGAAGACTTGATATTCCACTTATTGATATCACCAAGGAAAGTAGAGACTGAGAAATTGTGAAAAGCTGCAGTCCTCTCTCAATATGCCATGAACATACAAAATTCATTGGTGGTTTCCCTATGCTACTGAGAAGAAAGGTGCAGACTCACAGAGAGCTATGCTATGTCAGGAGGGCTGGAGGAGCAATGGAAAATATTACTTGAAGTACCATTTTCCAGAAGAATTCTAAAAGATACTTATTCGCCTTTTAGTACACACAGTATGCACAGCAAGGTAGTAGTCTTGTGGTGATTTTTGACATGATCTACCATAATGAAGCTCTAGCTCTTCCTGGCTATAGGCACTACTATAAAGACACAGAAATAATGACAACTAGTGGGCACTCCAACAGGAACGTTTAAAACAAGATTGCTTAAAACGGTACTTTAGCAGTCACCTAAAAAAGCATTAAGCACAATAAACTACATTTAAGAATTTATATGTCTACTACTGTGTTTATACTGCTGATTTACTTAGCATGATTTTTTTTTCCTTCTTTTTAATCTATAAATACCTCTGCCAAGGTTACTACTATATGTGAAAAGGGAAAAGCTTAATATACTGTTTAACATAATTGTGTATTTGTGCATGATTTCATAAGGTGCTTTCAAAAGCCACCTATTCCTGGAGACCTGTGCACATTCTGCGTATTCTGGTTACTAGACATTAGAAAGCTCACTTATAAGCAGACTGCCAACACAAGCAAAGAATAAAACTTTCTAACCCACAACTGCTGACACTGGTCATATAATACTGTCTCTGATGCCCTGGAATTTGATGGGCTCATTTTATTTAGTATAAGGACTATGAAAGGTCAAAGAGCACATACCTCCAGTGAAGTCATCCACTCTGTATGTAATACAGAAGAGTATGTCATGTTCTTAACAGACTATTTTTAATTCAATGTAAATATACAACCTCTTCTGAGGTTTTGCATTTCTAAAATCATGGTGGGCTTCTCAGAAGTACATACAGGAATGAGTAGCTCAAATCATACTAAAGTCAACAACATGTATTAAATTGCCAAAGACACTGGAAGAAGTACAGAGAAACATTATATGCATAAAAAAGGAATGTTTAAAGTAGATTGTATATTGCTCAGGTTATCCTAACCTAGCTAGCACAAAACAATAGTATGGGACAGCAGTACTGTTAGTACTGGGTGAACAGCCAGAAGTTTGCTTTGAATATGTGTATTATTTATATATATTATTTTTTAAACCAGAATCATTGTTGAAGAATCCCAAAATTCTTTATTTAATTAACCATTGGTTGTATTAAAAAAAAAATCAATAATATTTGTATTGACAGAATAGATTAATGCTTTATTAAATAAAATGTATGGATTCATTAAAAAATAGCACTAAAAACATTATGTTAATTGGATGGAAAAATCAAATACAATTGAAAAAGGATGAATGATTTTTTCAACAAATAAACCAGTATTTTGAATAAAGCTTTGTGGTTAGGGACTATGTTATCTCTGTGTGTAAGGACATGTAAATTGAAGTGGCAGTTCTCACCTTTCTCTATCATCCACCAACTTGGAGCTTTCTTGGTGTGAAGTATTTAAGCTTGAATACTGCATAGTCTGAATATGAGTAGGTCTGACATGAACATACCATGTGCATGTAGGACCTACTCAAATTCAGACTACGCAGTAGTAGCTAGCAAGATACCTGGCCTTAAGGCTTTCTTACCAAGTCTTCTGACTTGGACTTAAGCAACTGGGTAACCTTTTTCAACAAAGCATTCTCCAGTAATTACACAGAGTACTCCAAGGAATTGACTTTAATAATCAAACATAACAAAATATTTTGCAGGGTTCAAGATGATTTGAGGAAGTCATGTTCCTGTCTTATACTGACAAGCTAAAAAAACCCCCACAACTGCAACTCTACCTGTTGCTGGCACAATCCACTTTGGCAGTCCAGGTGGTTTTGTTCTAGCTGGTGCTAGTGTGGTTCTACTAAGAGCTGTGAGAGAATTTAAAAAAGAAAAAAAGTTCCATGAGAAGAAAACTCAACAGACTTTTATGTGATGCCAGCAATTCCAAACGAGAGAAGAAAAAGCAACGCTTGCTGTAATGATATACACCATTTGGTTTCTTTTTCTGATTTGGAAAGGCTTTACATCTAGACTGATTTACCGGAAGAAAAATACTTTTTCCCCCCTGCAGCAACACTCAAAATTCCACTGAGAATAGGTGAAATTAATTAACTAATTAATTAACCTCCACCCCATCCTAAACTTACTAAACAATTATTACCTGGTCTGGTCTGTGATTTATCAGATGGCTTTGGTCTTGCAGAAGTGAGACGTGTTTTATGAGGTGCTAAAAGAAGTAAGGTTCAGTTTAAATGTGATGTGTTGACAGAAGATCAATATTGCAGTGTAATTTGCCAGAAAAGGCCCATGCACCAGTGTGATACATCAAAATCATGCTGAAAATGCAAGTTTCTTTAGTATTCAGATGATTCCATCTTGCACTCTGACTAGTTACATTCATGTTTAAGTTTAGGAAAAGATATAAAATATTTACAGCCAGTTACCCAACTGTATATGGATACAGAGTTAGCTCTGCAAGGTATCCATGGCCTTAAGACATTTAATTAGATTCTGTAAAAAACAAACAAACAAAAGACCTCAAAATAAAACACCAAACCAAACCTTCCCTAGATCAAATATTCAGATAAAAACATGACACACTGAAGACCGAGAAAACAACTGGAAGCATTCCGTGCAGACAATGTGTAAGGTTGCTGAAGCATAGTGTCATCAAGGTTAAAATCAGAAGCCTTCAGCCTTTTCTCATTGTCACCTTTCACTTGCCAAATAATTTTGACATTGTAGTTGTTACAGAATTTGTGTGAATCGCACTGAAAGCTGAAAGCATAAGCAGTAATCACTGACATCTTGTGCCAAATGATCAACCTCTACTAAGTCCATTTTTTAAATAAATTGAGCTGGCTATTTGATATTCAGATCTAGTTACTGCTCTATATCCAACACAATGGAGTGTCAGAGAAAATGCAAGAAAGAACATATTACTCATTTTTGACATTTAAATTTGGTAAAAGCTTTACAGATTTAGATTTAGTGTTTTATAGAGAAAAAGGCGGAAGTCATTTTCATCTATGTTTGCAACACTATACATCTGAGGATCCAATACACAGCAGTAATACTGTTTAAAGCTTTGTATCATCTTTAGACAATATTGATTAAATCTTGATTTTCAGAGCAGTGAATAAAACCCCATTTGATAAGGAGAAAAAATGCATCTTCATGTTATATATTTGAAATAGTTTTAAAGGTAATAATGAACAGACCATTAAACTGTTCCAATTTTACTCAAGATCTACAGACATCTTAAGTTGTATTCAACAACTTAAAAAAGTCTTAGAAATTACCTGTACTAAAGCGTGGAATTTCAGTTGCCAGAGCAGTTTTGGGCTTGGGTGAAATCTCGTATGTTTCACTGGGAGCTGAAAGTGAAGATATTATTGCTTGCCAAATGCAAATTATTTCCTTTTAAACATAAGACACCACAGGGGGAAAGGGAAAAACTGTCTTTGTGCAAATTATAAACAAAAAGAGTCAGTGCTAGAAAACCTGGCTGAAAATCATGCTTCTATACAAATAAAAGACTCTTCAAGACTGGGAAGATAGAGTCAAGACAAAAGAAAAGATGATCAGGTAATGCCTTTATATATGACTCCTCAGCCTTGTACATGAAGTACTTATTTCTAGAAAGAATTGTATGAGAGAAGGAATGGCTGGAAAATTAAAACCAGCAACATTTTGTACATGCAGTGGAATGTGACTAACAAATGAACACAACATAAAGATATATTGAGGTGTTTCTGTTGATTAAAGTGTAAATATAGTCATATAGCAAAAACAGAGGAAGTCAAGTTTTATGAAAAATAGACTGACATTATATTCTCATTACCCAAAGTCATTTTGGACCCATCAACAACATGAACTGTTATAAGGTTAATCGATCCCAGGTGTGTTGTTCTTGGAGCTACAAGAAATAGAACATTGCTGTGTAAGAACTAAAATTAAAGAAGCTGGATTTCATTAAGGATCTGTGTCCTTTGTTTCCTACAGACCTATCTACACATCTACTAAGACAATTTTAACAGACATGAGACAGACACATGTTCTGATTAGTCTGGATGTATTTTCATGATGACAGCCACACAGTGCAACTATTTTGCTGGCCTCCCCCAAACTTCAGTACAAATGCCCTGAAGGTGGAGTTCTGGCAGTCTGGCCTTTCTCACTCTGGGTATATTAATTTGCACTTCGTAGAAAATTTCTAAAAGCTTACAGTAATGGTTTTATCTTTCAGATATTCTTCCCTTACTCAAATATGATTGAATTTAGTGAAAGATATCTAAGTTACTGGATGAAAAGGTACCCGCTACACATCTCTCTCTCTTTCAGAAATAAGGTTAAAATATGGATCCTGGAAAGCAACCTACTTACTGGCATAAAGAGCAGTAGCTAAATAGTGCCATTTGCTTCTAACAACTTTCTTAACAGCAATTTTGCACATACATCATTATAATGATTTGAAATTTAAAAGTCAAAGAATAAACCTATAAATTCTGTTTTCCAAAATTCTTCACCTAAAACTAATTTTTTAGTGGTACCAAAACATGGCACTTCCTAGATATGGCATCACTTGATTATAACTATTCATCCCTAAATCTGCTATAGTTACTGCAAAAATCACCAATAGGAAGAATGTACCTATACTCTTATCATCTAACTATCTTGGACTAAGATTCCGAGTTTTGAAAATACTTGAGAAACTGAAGCAAATGTATATAAAGTAATAAAATCTCCAAAAAGAAAAGAACACAGTGAAGCTGGCTACAGCAGAGTATTTTTATTAAAATTAATCTAATTCTTCACATTTTTCAAGGCTACTACCCACTAATTCATAAAACCAACCAACTTCTGCTTCCCATGGAAACAGATGCAATTCATGGGCATTCTCTTTAATATAATTTATTAACATACTCCAAGCGGAACAATTATGCTAATTTCTGCCCACAAATCATGGGTGTCACATGACTGCAGTACTGAATGACAGAAGACAGTGTAACTAAGGCAATGCCACAATAACACTTTTCAAGTTAAAAGCTTTAAATTACCAGGTTTAGTCTGTGGTACTTCTGGCCCAACAGATGTTTTGGGTTTGGAAGGAATGAGCAGTGTTTCTTTTGGAGCTGAAAGAAAAGGAAAAAGATTATTATTGTATTCTTCAGGAGTTGTGATCCAGTGTCATATTTAGCCCACAGAAAATTCATGCTTCAAATGTCTGAAAAAAAGACAATAACAATTCCATTGCTTTCTGGAACCTGAAATAAAATGACTATCCAAACCACAGAAAAGTCCTAGCACTGTGCTGTAGGATAAACTGAGTTAGAGGCTAAAGTTCTTGCTCTAAAAAAAAATCAGACCATTGAATTTGGTTGGAGATTTGACAAATAGGCTTCTGACCAGACATGAGCGGTAGGCTATTTCTGCTTTATTTCAAAGATAGAACTGAGACTCATCTGTATTAAGAAACATGCACGTGTGCAAGCAGAATGAAGTGGAATGATGTTACACAAAGTACCACACTGGAGCATGTTCTCTAGGAATTTCTTCACTGAAAAATTAAGAATACCTGCATCTTAACTTTAACGAAAGTTATTTACCCATTGTTGCCCTTGAATGCTCGGTGGTAGTAGAAGATTTTGTAATAACTGGTTGTGGAGTTGTCTGATGTATTGCTGTTAAGGAAAGAACGTGAAGAATCTTAGAATATTAAACTCTAATAGAAGCAAAGTAGCATCTGTACTTTTTCTAAAACTTCAGAAATGCCCCAAACTAAAGCACAGCAGAATATTTGAAAAATCAGCTGCCGACAGGTATCATTAACTCCTGTACATTCCTTCTGTAACAAAAATGGGAAGAGACTCAGCCTATAACTATTTTTAAGCCTTCTTTTGTTTCAATATAGCACACAGTATCAGTTGCCAATTTTACAAGCACATTGCAAAGGAGTTCTGTTGCACTTTATGGATTAAAAAGCCAAAAAGTGCTCGTAAAGTTGCACCTCTGATTACTAGGAAGTAATCAGATCAGAGAGAACACAGTCTATCTAGCCACTGAAATTTGTCAGCGTCCATATTACTACATTTTAGTCATCATTTGCTGTATTTACTAGAAAATAGGAAAACCGTTTGTGATGCATACTAAAAATCGTACTATTATTTTCAGTGTAGTTTTGGCATATTTTGGTTTAAGTGTAATGCATTTCTTTGAGCACAAAGCCAGCTATGAGCAATTCCATTAAAAAGAACAAAACCGAAGGCTAAGGGAAGGAATTACTAAACACAAACACACAAAATTAAAGGAAGGATTCCATTACCAGGTTTGGTGTGTGGCACTCTTGATTTTTCAGATGTTTTTGGTTTGGTATGAATGAACTGTTTTTCAGTTGGAGCTGAAATAAAAACAAACAGCACCCATAACAATAATTGAAACCCACGCTTCTTCCATAGCACACAAGGAATGCGAGTACGATCTGATCTGTAATAAGGCAAATTATGTAAGGGTAAAGCTGAAAAGCAAACAGCTGGAATTCCTGCAAAGAAAGGGAAATAAGTTAAATGGCTGCTGACACAGACTTCCCCCAAATTATATGCAAATTTCTAGCTTTGGATGAAGAAGTGAATAATGAATGGCATACAATGATGGGAGAAAAATAGACAGTAGCAGCTTACATCTTCCACATCTGCCATACATGAATATCTGAGGACAGGATCTGCTTTTCAATGGACCCTTAGTATCAGACTTGATTTATTAATTTAACCCTTTGTTTTTATGTGGGAACTATTCAATCTTGTTGTCTTCATAGGGGCCAGTTAAAACTGTTGCCATGTAGGAATCGTTTACTGGAAAAGGTTATCTTGGTACTAGCTAGTCTGTGATGTACACCAGTGGAAATGATCTTCAAAATATTTGCCCTAGCCTGTGCATTCTGCATCCCCCTAGCTCTGAAGAACCATTTTCTGCACATGAATATTGCATCAGGTAGCCCCAGATATGTACAACAGAGTACGTAAACTTCATAAAGCTATATAGAGATATCGAATGAATACTAACCTAAGTAATTCATGTATACAGAGAATATATATTGAAATAGAAACACAAGTAAAAGGTTTTTTTCATTTCCTATTCCTCAGAAAGAAAAAACATACTTCAAAGGTTACTGAATGCCTATTAATTCTTCATTAGTGCTACCATTTCCTTCTCAGAAAATTGTGGTCAATGTTGGTCTCTCAAACTGGGGATAGAGAACTGGTATTAACAGAGATTTCTCAAGCAATACTCCTGCTGCCCAACGCTGCTTGGATTCATTGATCCTTATTTGGTCCACTTCTGACATTTAAGTTAAGAATGAAGAATTCTCACCTAATGTTTCATATAATTAAGCAGGTTTTCCCAATGTGGATGACTAGAAGTCAGTAAAGAAGATGACTTTAAGAATTAGTATTTGATTTGGAAGGTCAGTGGTCCATTTCGGTATATGTTACGCTATAGCTGATAACTCATAATTTCCTTGCAGTGAAGCAGAAAAGTATTTTAGGATGACAGTACCCACACCTCATGTACAGAAGTTACAGGAATCACTACATACTCTTTAAATTAAGTCCCCTTTTATTGCAAAATATGTAAAATCTTAAAGAATTACACCATCCTGACTGGAAAGCCTATGAGATGAGGAAAAGAACCTTCAAAAGTAAGTGAGCTCATGCATTATTACCCTTATCAAGACCAGAGGGCAAGCAAGTGTCTAGAAGCAGAGTGAAACATCATTAGTTTTTAATGTCATGTAATGAGTTCTCCCTAAGAAGATCTTCTTTAACAACAATGGAAAATAGAGTTTTTATAAAATACATATTATTACCCAGTGTTGCCTTTGTTCTTTCACGAATGTGAGGAATCATAGTAGTATCTGGTTCATGGAAGGTTGGAATGATTTCTGTTGGAAGAAATGTTGATAATGCTCAGAATAATGAAGACTCTCCATTTCCCTACTGCCCCCTTCAAAAAACACTTCAGCGCTATACTATCTACACCAGGAAATGGATGTTTTAAAAGAGCAATGGGCATTTACCCTCAGAGATTTATGGTTACAGAGAGTTCAATTTTTTTGTTCGGGGTTTTCTTTTGTAGATACCTAGAAAACAACAGTAACAACCCTTCTGTGAAATCACTGATTATCTTATGCAGTTCAGTCAGATTTATGGTGGGGAGTCTCCTAACTCAAATACAACTGAAGGGAATCCTCAGTCTAATCTGGATGAAAATATGCCTAATAAAGGAAAACCACTGCAACAGCTTTAAGAGGCTTCTCTCACAAGAGGTTCAAAACATGGTGCAAACAACTGAAGTCTGTTGCTCAGATACAAGCTGTGAACAACTTTTTATCATTGATTTAAACATACAGATCACTACTATTTCTCCTTCTGGTAACATCAACATAATAGAAAAAATAATAAATCTTGAACTGTTGTAGTTTCCATCAGTGGCATGAGTTAACTGCAGCATTGCAGAAATTTTTTTAAGCTAGATGGGTACCCAGGCAATTGCAAATGCAGTGTTGATAACTCCCCCCACTGCCCACCCTGAAAGGAACTGTTCAGTTATCTACTGCAGCTTGACAAAATATCAGATAATTTACCAGGCCTCCTGTGCGGAGCATCTGGGATGGGATCTGCTTTAGGTTTAAAGGGAGTATGTTGTGGTTCTTTAGGAGCTGAAAGAAAAGTCCTGTTTTAAGGGTTTATCACCTTCAGATATAGACAGGTTTATTGCACAAACACTGCATGCCTTGTGCTTGCAAAGAAAAATAAGATCCTTACATAAGAGACTGAAAAATTGAGCGTCAGATGCATACAGGAATTTCAAGAGAAAAGAAAATCCTGAATTAAAACATGGGTGGAAAATTGATGAAGTAAGCAAAATCTGGAGTCAAGCAACAAAACCTGAAAGACCACAGACCACTACAGTAGCCATGTTTCCCTCTGTATCTCAGAGCTCATAACTGATGGCATGCTTGTCTCCCACAAGTGTCAAAGAATTACAATGTATTAGAGTGAAAGAAATTTTCTGTGAAGACAACAAAACAGCTAGGAATCTTTCAATATCTGGTACACAGTAGAATTAAGATGACATGGGAAAACCAGACTAGTAATATATAATTGGTCCAAGGAGCAGCAGAGAAAAAATAATGACGAGCCCAAAGTAACATCTTTACCTGTTGCTGTCTTTTGTTATTCAATTGTATATATAGTAGGTGCCAAAACTTCATAAAAACAAGAACGTACACAATATTAGCAATAAGTACATGCAAAAGGGTACTTTTACATGACTGATTTCAAATTGGAACACATACTTATTTTTAAAAATTATTATTTATTGGTGGAACAAGTGAATATATACTCACTCAAAAGGAAGGTTCAACTGATGCTTTCACAATCATCAGGAGTTACAGAGATTTGGTCATTCACTACCAAACTATTAAAATCCCTATTAAGTATACACTTTTAAGAGTCAAATTCCATTACCAAGGCACACAAACATGAAAGTGGTTTGAGATAGATATTTAGAGTCATACACAAACGACCTCAAATATATTTTTCTCTAAGAACTTTTGATAGGCATAAAAGATGAAATTTCTTCCAAGAACATTCTTATAATGTTTGCATGTTGTCTACCCTGATATGCAGATTATTCATCAGTGACAGCCATCATGTGGCTGAAAAGCATACACAACTCATCAAAACTCAGCTATTAAAAATACAAATCAGCTTTATCTTCCTTTAAACATGTGATCATCAGAAAACCTACTTGTTTGTAATAAGAAGTTTAGATGTTAATCAGCACCTGATTCATTGAGGAAAGACAACCCAAAATAAACCTTGAAGATTCAAACACAACAAAACAACAAAATATTTACCAGTTTTTGTGTGTGTTATGCCTGGACCTGGTGATGCTCTAGGCTTGGAAGAGACTCGCCGACTTTCTTTTGGACCTGTAAAGACATGCAAAGTTTTGAACATGTTACCGAGAATAACAATTCATCATAAACCTTTTGATTTTCCTGACAGAAGATTCATTTTCTTCCAAGAAATCTTTTAGAAAGTATTTCCATTTGAAAACAATCACAAAGAGATCTCCTGACAATGCAAACAATATTATGTTCAAGCAGAGACTAAAGACAAAGTGACTGTTACAGTGCAGTGTTGGATTAACTCTCCACCTCTTTCAGCTCTGCAACACAAAGCTTTCTACAGAGTAAAATGCTGTAGTTCTAACACTTATCCTTGTTGTGCTTCTCAAGCACTTCATATTCCAAAAATCTGCTGCTTACTTTACTCAGCTGTGCATCAAAAAAAAGTCCAGCAAAGCAGAAGAAACGTGGAAATTTACCACTAATGTTCAAATGGACAGAAGTATTTCCAGAGTTTTGGCAACAGGAAAGTAGTGTAATTTTACTCTTGTAAATGAGTAACTGGAAAATATAAATACTTCTGTCACATTCTGTGGAAATTAAGACACTAATTTTCTGATGTGCAAAGGCTCAAGATGACTGTTAACCCTCATTTCCCTACCATTATACAAGTTATTGTGACATGTATAATATTTAGCAGATTATCTTGTTCTGTGACAGCTATATAGCAAAGACGATTATGAGAGTAAACCACAGCATATTCAGTGATTAACTGTGTACTTTCAGAGAACTTGTAAATTTTGACAATTTTCAAACTGATAAAACTTTCATGTAGTAAAAGGCAAAATATTGATAAGCTTACTTGCTCTAGTTGGAGGAACATGAGGACTGGGTGATGTTGTAGGTTTGGAAGTCCCATGATGTCTATCTTTAGGAGCTGAAAGAAATAGGGTTACACCATACTAAAATTTTTTGAGGTATCAGTGTCCACAACCACCCATAACAGTAAAAAAACCACCACCAAATCAAAGATTTAAGCCGAAGATATTCTATGGAAGTGATGCAGAAGAGAAGGGGGTTTTTTAAACAAAATAGGTCTATAGAGAAAAGAAATTATCTTCTGAGGCATACTATCAACTAAGCATGTAACAGAATCACTGGTTCTATTTAAGAAGAGGACTTAGAAGAAAACAAAGTAAGGAGCTTCAAATACAAAGACACTACTAGACTGTAATGGAGGCTGTACCAAATGATAGGCAGTACCAGATTCAAATGATAAAAATGCCTTAGTCAAATGGATCTGCATCAAAGAATCATATGACCCAAAGATCACTGAAGTGAATCTGTTCTGGCAGTGGAACTGAGGTTTGAGTGAAACAATTATTTTTCAGTCCCCTATGAAGGACTAAATATCACTTAGTAAAACCGGAGGGAAAGGAAGCAGAGAAAGAAAACTTGCAACATGCACCTCTGTGCACCTCAACCATATGACTAATGAGAACAGTGCCACCTCTACTGTATGACTGAGAACATGTAAATTAGAATCCTGTTCTGATCTGCCCTCTACTTCTTACCATTAAATACTGAAGGAAATTGCCCTACCTTACGTGTATAATGACTTGAAAGGAAAGGATCCTCCTCAATTGTTTTGTAGAAAATAAGAAAAGAGACAGAGAATCTTGACTGATAAATTTTTAAGGCTCACACAAAGGAAGATGACAAGGTTTTGCAGGTCTACTCTTAATGATTTTTGTTGAAGACGAAAGACAACATAACTGTTCAAGTAAGAAAGTTATTATTACCTACTGTTGATTTTGGTTTCTCAGTTCTAAATGTAATTGGTTCCAGAACTGCATTAGTGTGATAAAAAAAAAAAAAAAAACAAACAAAACCAAAAAACAACAAACAACAAAAGCAATTATTAGTAAGAATAATCAAAACAGTACAATCACTACTTCCACAATGATCATACAATCATCCTGCTACAGCCAATGACAGATTGTCACTTCTCCCTGAAACTCAACACATCAGAGTACGATTCTATGATTATGCTGCTCAGAATTGCCTCCAGTTCAAGGCAATAGCTCTGACACAGAACAGAGCCCACATGTAAATCTGAAGCTTTTATAATAAACCACAAAGAAATTGTGGATGTTTTTTCACCTGCAATTTTGTGCACTTACCTGACTTATTTCAAGTTTTTGATTCAAACTATAGGCACAGATTTTCTGGGGGCAAAAGGAACCTTAGTTGTCATCTTTCTGCCCATTTCTCCAGCAGCGTTATCTAATACTGCATATACTTTTGCATACACGCACTGGGTCTGGTTGGGACAGAGTTTACTTTCATCACAGCAGCTCCTGTGGTGCTGTGTTTTGGATTCATGAATGTTGCTAACACAATGTTTAATCTATTTTTATATAAATTATATATTTG